TTAACATACTCAGTGTACACAATCAATTTTTTTTTCCATTTGAAATCATTACAATCTTCTTTAACCCTGCTATTATTTTTCAGGTATGACAGGCACTTTAACGTTTATCATCATCCCAAGTGGAACCCAGCAACAGCAGCCTCCACCAACACGACCCCCTATTACCCAGACCATACATGTCAAGGCACACTTTGACTATGACCCAGAGGAGGACCTTTATATACCCTGCAGGTTAGTTTTTGGCTTGGAGAGGTGGACGGAAAACACACTAATAGTTGAGTTAATTTTCACTCAATGTAGAGGCATTCAGTTTTGGGTATTTACAGTATAGCAATCATGAGGAAAATGGGGGAAAAAACATGAAATTAAGTTTCTGGTACTTGATAATTTATATTCATTTTACCCTTGCTGTTTTTTATATTATCTGCTGACAGAACTTTCCTTAGTCTTTACAAAAGTTTTATCTTTGAAACTAATGTTTTTATCTGTTCTTATGCCAATGCAGGGAGCTGGGCATGAGTTTCCAGAAGGGAGATATTTTACACATTATCTCTCAAACTGACCCCAACTGGTGGCAGGCTTATAGAGATGGAGAAGAGGACCAAACACTGGCAGGACTTGTTCCTTCTAAATCTTTCCAACAACAGTAAGATATCCAATTGTTTTTATTTGCTAGTGTTTGAAAGCATCTTGAGATATACCTGGAAACATGTGTAATAAACTGATTATGGGTGATGGTCTTTGCAGTTCATTGTTCAAAATTCCTTATTTTTTAAATAGATGAGTTTATTTATTTACTATTGTCAGATTATTAGAGCCATTTCTTTGGGGACATACCTTTCTGATGCTAACCTTTGCATTGCAGCCGTGAAGCCATGAGACAGACGGTGGTTGGAGACAATAACAACAAGGAGAAGCCCAAGAGAGGGAAGCTACTATGTGCCAAAAAGCATCAGAAGAAAAAGAAGAAAAAAATGCTCTATCCAAATTATAATGAAGGTTAATATGATTTTTCTTGATTTTCTTTTCATTTCTCTTTCTTTGCTCTGTCATAATATCTTTTGCTATTATACAGTAATTGATGATTATTACTAATACTAAAAATAGGAGAGCTTAGCATGACTTGTATGGCTGATAATGTCTTACATGTGGAAGTGAATAATAGTGTATGTGATGATGGGTGAATGATTCTTTGTTGCATGGTATGTCCTGTAAATAATCATAAAAATAGCACAAGGGAATGCATAGATTATGCATGGAACTAACAGACATTACATAATAGACTTTTACAGATTAATGTAATAATGAGTACATGATGAATGTACTGGATCTGAAAAAAAAGATGACCATTATGTTTTCTTTTATTACAGTAAGAATTCAAGTAATATTATCATTTATTGAATTTATACAGAATGTTATCCAGTGTGTCATGTACCCATTGATTAGGTAGTTACTTTAAAAATAACATGGAAGGAGAAGCTTTTGTTGGCTAACAAGGACCTTTCTAAACAGTGCAAACTCTTTACTTCTTTTCTACAATATTTTTCATCTTCCTTACCTGCTTGGCCTCTCTGGCTCAGCACGGAGCAACTCTCCACTCCCTCTGCCAGGAAGAGGTGGCCCGGGTACTGATATCCTAAATGAGACGGAGAACTCAGGAACCCAAGCACGGAGTAGGGTGTTAACTCTGAGACTTGCTCTCCCAGCTTGCCAGTGTATTAAGGGCAATACACTGAGGAGACGATGCAGCTCATTGTCTGATCTGGATGTTGGTATGGGGTAGCGATAGTGAACGTTGTGATCATAACCGTATCTCTCGTGTTCTTTACCAGTCTTGGCTTGTGCATGTTATCAGCATTAGTAGAGTTCAGGTGTTTTTGCTTTTATTTTTGTGTATATTTTTTGCTGTGGCAGTTTTATTTGGCTTGGTTTGTGTTTTGAATTGTAGCACTTTTAGAGGGTTGTTGATGATACTGTGTATATACATTCTTCAAAATCTCAGTGTGGTTCTTCCTTTTCTGCATACAAGAGATCTTTAGCTTCTGAAGAATAATCCTCTTCCCGTTTTTACAGATTTTGATTCTGAAGAAATCCTCACTTACGAAGAAGTGGCTCTTTACTATCCACGAGCAAACAGAAAACGGCCCATTGTCCTCATTGGACCACCCAACATTGGTCGGCATGAACTCAGGCAAAAGCTCATGGAGGACAGAGATAGATTCGCTGCTGCCATTCCACGTGAGTTTAAAACTTTTTTTTGTAGTATCTGGCAGGTTGACAAGGAGTGATACAACTGTGAAAATATATTACTGAATTATGCAAATGTTTTGATTGATATTAACATGCTTGTTTTATTAATAGGTCACTCGTATGTAATAGGGTAAATGAAATAGAATGAATTGCTTCTTAGTTTCATAAGAATGGCAATAGATTTCAAATTACTTCCACTGACAATGAATGCAAAATAATTGCACCTCTACACAGAAGTATTGTAACTATAAGCAACCTCCTATCCGCAGACACATCTCGCACACGAAGAGAAACTGAGCTGGATGGTCAGGACTACCACTTCATATCTAGAGCGCAGTTCGAGGCAGACATTCTCTCTCGCAAGTTCGTCGAGCACGGGGAGTATGAAAAGGCCTATTATGGGACCAGCATAATGGCTATCAGAGCTGTGGTGAACTCAGGGAAGATTTGTGTGCTGAATCTTCACCCACTGTCACTCAAGATCCTCAAGAGTTCTGACCTCAAGCCTTTTGTGGTGTTTGTCGCTCCTCCTTCCTTAGAGAAGCTCAGGCAGAAGAAGCAGAAGTTGGGAGAGCCAGTCAAAGTAAGTTCTTGAAGTGTACCCTTTTAACAGGTAGCAAAGGAAGGTCTTTTCAATGGGTTGTTGTTGTTTTCTTTTGTTTGTGATGAACCATTCTTTTTATGTTGGATATTGGGGAAAATAAGGTTGGTAAATTAGAAAAGAATGAATAATTTAGAAGTGATATAAGCTATAAAGATGTGGATATTGTTACACTGTGACTTTGAATTTGTAAAAAGTGGATCTATTTCAGCTTCCCCCCCCCTCACACAATATTAAGATTTTCACTCAGATATATAATTGGTATATAAATATTCACATATTGATTTACATACTTTTATGTCAGGATAAGTGGTTAGGAGCAGATATATATCATAACAAATAGGATGAATGACTTTCACAGCTCTATGTTATCAAATAATAAACAATTTTAGAGTTTTAGAGATTTAACTTTGTGGAGAGAAACCAACAAAAATAAAGTGAGAAGAAAAAAATATAAACTTTCGAGGAATTATTGATTATGTCTTTTTGTTCTTCATTGACCAGGGTTATAGAAATTATTAGTAACTTTATTTCATTTGTCATTTTACTAGATTTTAACTTTTATCTTTGAATTCTATGCCTCTTCTTGAACTGTATCAGAATCATGGCTTATGGCATAGAAATGGGGGTAGCACACAACTTTACACACATATTCCTTGCTTCCTAAAATATACAGGTTGCTTGGTCTTTTAAATGACCAAGCAAAATAAACTGCTTTAGGGTAGTTTACTATTAGAATTTTAAAATTTTATCTATATATATTTATGTTCATATTTTATTCAGTTACAGCAGTATTACAATGTCTTTCACCTAAAAGATCACAATTATATTTACCTAATTTTATGGCATTTTCTCTTTACAGGATGAGGAGCTCAAAGAAACAATAGAGAAAGCCAGGGAAATGGAAGAGCAGTATGGTCACTACTTCGACCTGATCATCATCAACCAGGATGTGGACCGTGCCTACCATCAGCTGCTACATGAGATTAACATGTTGGAAAGGGAGCCACAGTGGGTTCCAGCAGCATGGCTTGCACATGACCAGTGATAGGTACAAATGATTTAGAACGTATTGACATGATCACAAAGGTTTATTTTGCTTGGTTTCTACCTCTGGAAATATTTGTAAGTAAATAGTAATACCCTTCTAATTTGCAGGTACTGTAGTGCTTCTATGGTGCCAAATTTTTACCTGTGCGCTTCCCTCTAGCCAAAGGCAGAATTCTCCTCAGTGCTGCTGCTCTCAAGATACGTTCCTTGTGTGGAAGTCTCACTTGAAGGGCAGCTGAGTTTTTACAATCAATGATGTGATGGCTTGATGCTACAATCCATTGTCTGGTGAACACTAGGTGCATGAAATCAGTTGACTGTGTTAAGGTTGTGTTTTGAAAATGGGTTATCACATGGAGTCTAACCGAAGGAATTGAAAGAAAAATACAGAGCAGATAACTGCTTCGATAAATGATTGGACAATATATTAACATTGTAAATTGACTTTCATTCTAATACCTCCCCTGCCCTGTGTGGACATTTAACTTAGGTAATAAATCTAGACCATGGCTCCATTTACAAAAGGTGGGAAGTTTAAGCCCATTGTAACGGGATAAAATCAGGCAGACAAATGATGGAAGACAAACCAGACAAAAACTGTGGTGTAAAAAGTATTAAGCAATCCACCTTTTGTTGAGGTGGCTCAAGTGTGTGTGATACTAGGCAGAATCTAGAAACACGTTATTACCCTGTAAAGAAGACCCTCAATCCTTCTTGAGAGTTTTAATCTCTTTTTTGTTATTTACATTTTCTATTTCTTTTATTTTCCTGTACATAAAATTCTTTTACATATTTTTTTCTTCTTCATTTCCCTGGATTATAGAAATTACTTGTAACTTCATTTCATTTGTCATTTTACTAGATTTTAACTTTTATTTCATCTTTGAATTCTATGCCTCTTCTTGAACTCTATCAGAATCATGGCTTATGGCATAGAAATTTACACACATATGCCTTGCTTCCTAAAAGATAGAGGTTGCTTGGCACATTTAAAGAAACTGCATTATAGTAGTTTATTATTAGATTTTTTCAATTTTATTTATAATATAAATATATATATATATATATTTTCAATTATAGAGTAATGTGTAATTTCAATATTATGAACTTTCTTGGAAGACACAGCAAGATTACAATGTCTTAGCATCATTTCCCCTAAAAGATCACAATTACATTTACCTAATTTTATGGCATTTTCTCTTTACAGGATGAGGAGCTCAAAGAAACAATAGAGAAAGCCAGGGAAATGGAAGAGCAGTATGGTCACTACTTCGACCTGATCATCATCAACCAGGATGTGGACCGTGCCTACCATCAGCTGCTACATGAGATTAACATGTTGGAAAGGGAGCCACAGTGGGTTCCAGCAGCATGGCTTGCACATGACCAGTGATAGGTACAAATGATTTAGAACGTATTGACATGATCACAAAGGTTTATTTTGTTTGGTTTCTACCTCTGGAAATATTTGTAAGTAAATAGTAATACCCTTCTAATTTGCAGGTACTGTAGTGCTTCTATGGTGCCAAATTTTTACCTGTGCGCTTCCCTCTAGCCAAAGGCAGAATTCTCCTCAGTGCTGCTGCTCTCAAGATACGTTCCTTGTGTGGAAGTCTCACTTGAAGGGCAGCTGAGTTTTTACAATCAATGATGTGATGGCTTGATGCTACAATCCATTGTCTGGTGAACACTAGGTGCATGAAATCAGTTGACTGTGTTAAGGTTGTGTTTTGAAAATGGATTATCACATGGAGTCTAACCGAAGGAATTGAAAGAAAAATACAGAGCAGATAATTGCTTTGATAAATGATTGGACATTATATTAACATTGTAAATTGACTTTCATTCTAATACCTCCCCTGCCCTGTGTGGACATTTAACTTAGGTAATAAATCTAGACCATGGCTCCATTTACAAAAGGTGGGAAGTTTAAGCCCATTGTAACGGGATAAAATCAGGCAGACAAATGATGGAAGACAAACCAGACAAAAACTGTGGTGTAAAAAGTATTAAGCAATCCACCTTTTGTTGAGGTGGCTCAAGTGTGTGTGATACTAGGCAGAATCTAGAAACACGTTATTACCCTGTAAAGAAGACCCTCAATCCTTCTTGAGAGTTTTAATCTCTTTTTTGTTATTTACATTTTCTATTTCTTTTATTTTCCTGTACATAAAATTCTTTTACATTATGTTTGAAAATTTATATACAATATATCTATATCATGTTTATCAAACCTGCAGATTTTTTTTTTTCTCTTTTTTTTTTTCCTTTTCTTTTCTTTCTTTTTTTTTTTGATAAGTGTCCCTACTTTTCAAATTTAAAACATAATATAAAGGCTCATTTCACCCCCATGTTTAAAGTGTTTTAATGTCATACAGATAACTTTCTATTGACTTCATATTAAATGTGAGATTAATGAAAGTATTTTATCAATTTTCAAGATAGCTGGAAGCATTTGCTCAGTTACTATAAAAGTTTTTATTGGCAATGTGCAATAAGATGAGACTTTTAAAAAAACAATTATTCTGATCAATTAGCATGTACTTCAGATAGTTTCCTTTGATCCCTTAAATGTTTGTAATGTACATAGAGGTGCCATATTACATCAAAGTTGTGCTTGTAAATCAAACCTGTGACTCCTGATCTGTTTGCAGTGTTAAGCAGCAATAATAATAATACCTACATACATCCAAAAAAGTGTGTTGCAAAAGTCTTCACTATTATTTCCGTAAGGCTTTAGGATTTAGCTCTGCCGTTCACAGAGACAAATAATCTGAGTGTCTTATTATTCAGAATGAATATTGTTTACCATATATTCATCCCTGAGAAGCCTATACAGTGAAGTCTCTCAAAAGCACAAGTATGTGAGAAGTCAAGTTTGTGATGCTGACAATATTGCAAATACACACATGAAACTGTAACTTCAGTATTCCAGTGGTGTTTCCCCAATTTGTGTAATTCCTGTATATACTGTTATGATCTTCCTATGTTCACTTTGTTGTAAGTAGAAGCATATATGCCTCATTATAATGAACCATTAAATGATTATGATTCCTAAAAATAAATGTGTATACCAGCTCTGTGTTGTTTTTCTGTCATTAAAAAGGATTGGAGTTTGCAATAAGCTGTCTTTTACGCATTCATTATGTTCACTTTGAAATTTTTTAATTAATAAGATTTTCCTCCTGCTTTACATCCTTTTGAAAATGAAATTATTATAATTCTTTGTGGCCCATCTATAAGTAAGTAATGAAACTAAATTGCCGAGTTCAGTATGAGTCTTGGGTTAACCCATTGCCGCCGGGGAAAATGAACAAAAAATGGGGGAAATGCAGTACTCATTTTTTATATTTTTGTGAAATTTCTCTGTCCATAGATGGCTCTGCTAGTCCTGATTTCACCTTTCCTTGAATTGGCAGGAAAAAATGTATTTTTACTAGTGCTATAAATATAGATGGTGTTATTTTTGACAGCAAATTAGGATAACGTTAAATATTTTCGTAAATCGATGAAAAGGGTGAACGGGCGAGACAGGCAGTACTCGTAATTGGCTCATTGGATACTTAGTAAAAGTGTAGCCATCTATGTGTAAAAACAATCGAACAAGTCGACTCACAGTGGGCATGGCATGTACGTACATGCCATCCCCGGCGGCAATGGGTTAACTGATAGGGTTTATATCTGTAAAAAACTGATAGGTTGCAGCTACGGTGAGAATGCATTAGTTAACACGAAAAGAGTGAACCGAATACATCTCAAGTGTTCAAGAGCAAGGAAAAAATTGGGTTTTGCATAGATAGTAGAAAGAAAAGTGTATGATAACTTTAATGTGACTAGTAACAACCCAACTACTGTGAACAGTTACTCTGTGCACACCTCATGGAATGAATCTGTAATGCTAGTTTCCCTACATGTGTTTACCTCTAAACAATAGTGCTATTTACAGTAGATATATGTTGTGCAAAGTTTTACAAATTCTGGCAAAGGTAATCTTAAATGTTAAAGGTTAAAAATCCTAATTAGAACTGACTGTTAATGATGACACTCTGCCAAGATGAGGGGTGTCTGTGTGGTTTATCTTCTCCATTGTATCTAATGCTTAATTTTTCTTAGTATCTTTGCCATTGTTATTTAATTCACTATTATTTTTATTGCTATAATTATAGTGATTATCATAATTGCAGTAGTAATTATAGTAGATATTAGAATTGATATAATTATTCCAATTATCATCATTGTCTCCCCTTCCCCCCATCTGATGCCCGTTGTTGCCGTGGGGGGTATCCTTTGTCACAGCCTGACATTTTCACTGAAACTGTGATCTACTTGCCTTTATACCCCTTTCTTCATTACTAATCGCTACCCTTACCCTACGGACATATTTGCAAAATCCCACACATCTTCCTTTGTCAACTTTGATCTTCTGACGACTTCTGATGTGTAGCATGTATAATCATCAACTTCACTCTTTTCACTATTACACCTTTCTATAGTGCTGTATGATCTTTGATGTCTAGCACGTATATTATGCTTTGTAACATTAATTATCCTCATTGATTTTAATTCCTCCGGTTCCTCGACCCGTCTCTCCTTTGACCGCCCCCTTATCCCTTGGTCGTTGTTATCGTCGGGGGGGGGGGGGGGGGGGGTGAGTCGTGGTGAAACGATGAAAGGCTGGCTTTGGGTCAACCATTGGCATGGTATTTCCTTGGTTAATCGCATAGCCCTTAAACCTTATAGGGACCTTGTGGGGTATACCATTTTCTTCTCTCTACTTATTTCAGGCTCACCATGGCCAATAATGAAGATTTTTTTTTACCCTTATTAGGGGCATTAAGGCTTGCCCCTTCATCAACTAGCTCCGACCACTGAAACTAATACCCCCTCCACGATGTTTGATGTCAACTATAATCATTCTGAATCATCCACCCATTACTCAACCTCCAGTTTACACCTCCTCCTCTCTCGCAACATCCTCCATTCCATATCCTACTGCATAGTCGTCTTCATTGTCTACCCTCTCCCCCCTGATTACTACTCTTCATTCTTATTGTCCTCCTTCCAACGGTACTATATTTCTCTGTGTGATTCCCCCTACAGTGCCTTACTCTGACAATACGCTTCTCTTACAACAATGTTTTCAAAAACAAGCTTCCTTTTGCAGTCTTCAGCTCGTGCATTATTTACCTTTACTGACCCCACTGGCAAACCTATTCCTGTTCAACTTCTCACCTCCTTTAATACTTGTACCGGGAACTGTTTCCGACTGATTGTCTTGTCTACAATAAGGATTGGTTAGACTGTGAAAACGACCTGCTCGCATTCCTAATCGACTATGATGCAGTGGTAGTCCAGTGCTACACTATTCCTCCCAGAGGTCAGCATAAGTCCTAACCAATATTTGTAAGATTAGCTTCTTTAGACATTACCTCCCCCATGAAGTTTATATCGGTGGAACGTTTTGCCCTGTCCGACCATATCGACCGCTTTCCCGTCATTGTCAGAAATATTGGCGTTTTGACCACCCAGCCAAACACTGTCGCTCCACAGCCCACTACCCTCTATGTGTCCAACCTGGTCATGACCATTCAAATTCCTCTACTCAGTCACACATGTGTACCGGTTGTGGTGGCTCCCATAATGTATTTATAAGAGCTGCCCTGCCTACAAAATTCGAATGAAGTAGCAGTTCTGCGTGAGGTCAGGCTGGAAGCACGCCAACAAGGTTTTTCACTCTTTGCTTATTCCAAAACTGTACTTCGCTCCACTCCCCTCCCATTTTCTCAGGATGTCTCTGCATCTCCCCCAGTATCTCTTCCCTCTACCCTGAACCATCCTATATCTACTCCAGTCAAATTGCTTTTCCAGTCTAAATCTAGATACTCCAATCTCTGCCACTTCCCTTCCCTACACCTCCTCCTTCTCGCTCTACCTGTCGCACCTGGCAAACTAAACGTTTCACCCAATCCTCTCCTACCACATCCTCTCATACACCCACCTCTGGTCATCTGACATCTATTCCCTCTTCTCCTCCTCATAAGAAAACCTTTGTTTCTCAGACCCTCCCACCTGACTCCCCTCCAGAAACTCTTAAAGACAACCAAAACTTCCTAAACATGGCCCAAGAGACTGCTCCGTTTCCTCATGCAGTCTCCAATCCCTCTATTTTTCCGATATGCATCTTCCTCCTCCTCAAGTTCCTCCCACACTCCCCAAAAAACATCCCATCCTCTCCTTCTCCACGTGCATCACCATTCCCTCTACCTTTCCCGTTATTTTACCACACTCCCTTTATGTCATAACAATTTCCTTCTCCAGTTCCCTTCCCTCCTGACATTCTTCCTGATACTTTACTGATTTTCCCCTGTTCCCTTATTCTCTAGAGTCTTCTACTTCCCCAACAACCATTTCTACCTGTATTACCCGTTGACTGTTTCATAATGGCTGTTTTGCAGTTTTCCATATACAGTGTTACAATTCCTTCTTCAGACACATATTCTCCATTTGATCTAATCGCCTTATATACTTAACGCCTTCCCCTTTTACAAATCCCCAACGTACTCCATTTGCTTCTCTCTCTATACCCTCTCCACTACCATTTATCTAATACATTTTATCCTAATCGTTAACTGATTTTTACCCTTTTCGCCACAATACTTTACCATAGTGCTATATGACTATTGATGTCTAACACATCTATTTCTCCTAACCATTAACCTACTTTGACCACGACTCAGAACACTACTACTACCCCTTCCTCAGTGCCTACCTCAGTCCAGTCCAAATCATCAGCCCGGGTCATTACTCAACCTCTAAGAAACATTCCTCCTCTCCTAACATGCTTATCACTACTCTACAGCCTTATTATCCATTTCTCCGCAGTACTACTTCACTCAACACCACTCCTTCAACAAGGCCCCGTCCTTCTACTACCCCCACCTCTAGAAATCTTTTGAGTGCTTTGTTTAACCCAGCCAAATGGCGTAATTTTTTGTGATTTCTTCTACAGCCCCTTTGGCAACACTCTCCTCTTCCAGCAATAATAAATAATAATTACCCGAGTCATCCGCTTTTAAGGCGGACGTGCTGACCACTGCACCACGAAGTCATTTTTAACTGAAGGGGGTAATATATATTTAAATCTTCTGTTTGTAGGTGTGTGTGTGTGTGTGTGTGTGTGAGAGAGAGAGAGAGAGAGAGAGAGAGTAGTAGTAGTAGTTTTTTTGTTGTATCATTTTTGTTTTTGTTTTAATTATTTTTATCATCATCGCCATCATCATAATCTTCAGCATCACCATCATCATTATCATCACCATTATTATTACTACTATAATTATTGTTCTTATTATTAATAGTAGCAGTAGTAGCAGTATTGATATTAATATTTTCATTATTATTATTATTATTATTATTATTATCATTATAATTATCATTATCATTATCATTATCATTGTCATTGTCATTATCATTATTATTGACATTATCATTATCATTATTATTATCATCATCATCATAATCTTTATCATTATCATCAGTATCATTATTGATATCATTGCCATTATCTTTACGCTAAATAATCTGGCCCGTAAGTGTGTTCCTTGAGAGAGCATGGTAGGCCTACATGTATTTCCATAAAATCGCTAGACTGGATTCGAAAAACCGCTAGACATTGAAAGATCCCTATTTGCTCGCTAGAAGGGACTTTAGGAAATCCGCTAAATATAGAGTAGACTTTCATCATCATCATCATAAGGGGGCTAACGCCGGTAGGGGCGCATAGCCGCGTCCACCCTTCGCTTCCACCTGCTAGGGTCTCTCATGGCAAGCCGCCAGGCAGGGGCCCGGCCCATCTCTAGTTCCTCACGACAGGTTTGATCGATCTGCCCAAGCCACGACCTTCTCGGTCGTCCCACAGGCCTCCTCCACCCAGGGTTGTCCCGAACAGAGACAACCTGATGGGCAGGATCATCCTGCGGGAATCGAGCCAAGTGGCCATATAGCCTGAGTTGGCGATCACGGATTGTGCAAGTAACAGGTCCTGTACCGGTCTCGCGGTGCAGCTGTTGGTTGGACACATG